ACACACACACACACACACACACACACACACACACACACACACACACATATATACATTACAGAGTTTCTGTCAACATGCTGCTGATTGTGCCTGACCTTTGACCTCCTTGTGACTCATAACATAGTTGAAAGTGGATTGGTCCACATTTTGCCTCCTTCAGGAAGGCCTGTCCTGTGATGTCATAAATTTGAGGTGGAGCTCAGAGGTCCTAGGTCAACACTTTGCCGAGTTAAAGGGAAAATCCCCACAGCTGCTGCGCCCTCTGCTGGACACCACTGAACATTACAGCACAGTGTCTGCATCACTACTGATAGGCAGTCAAAATCAAAACATGAAACTTTATAGAACTCCTTCTCTCTGGATTTCATGTTTTATAATGAGGGGTTACAATTATTTGAATTAAATTATTCGTTAAATTATATAATTACATTATATAATTACATTATTTAAAAATGGCCTCAGATATGACATATTAAATTTTGTTCTTATCGATATAAAAAACACATGGACCTGGAGGTTTGAGATGTTCTAGATGTTTGTGGCTGCAGCTGAACTAAACAGTGAGGGAATTTTTAGGATGGCACGAAAATGCATCTTTGGAAAGTAAATAAGTGCTCTTCATTGAACACAAGACAAAAGGAACCAGAGCAAAAATACTTTTATTAAAAATCCTAATTATATTCTTTTAATGATCACAGGGAAACTCAAATGGCTTAAATCAAAATCCATTTCATGGCCACTTCCTCAGTAAAGGGTATTTCAGAATTGCTCCTTAGAGCCCTGCTTCAACTATTCTTCATGTGAAAAAATCATGCATTTGCCCAAAACAAAAACAAAACCTGGCCCCTAACATTTTCACAAAGTGAAATATTATCATTATTATCATTACACAAACTTTAAACTATGTTTTAAAAGGTTTTACTGTTTTTCCCCTCATTTTTGTTGCTGTTTTCCAACTTCAGAGCCACCACAGAGACTCATATAGCTTTGTATTTGTGTTTATTTGATGGCACATATTAACATTGCAGCATTTAAACACGTATACAGCTGATGCAGTGTATACAGTATTTCTAGCCAAAGCTAATTTGTAGGTCTTGCCCCTGGTTCTGCTTTTAAGACACAACATATCCATACAAGTATAGGATCAAACATTTCAAAAGCAACAACAACAATGATAATATTCATAATAATAATAAAGTACTGACAGAAGTGTTTTTAATATTTTCTTGATGTTGACATTTTTTCATAAAGCTAAAAGCCTCAAATAAAACCAGATTAACAGGCAGCAAAGGAAATCAGACTGTTTGTTTTTGAGTGTAGTGCCTGAAGAGGGCGCTCTTACTCTGCAGGAAAAAGAGCAGCTTTCACTCTGCAGTGTCTCATCTGCTCCATGTCGTAGCCACACGGCAGTAAGCACTGAACTTCACCAGCCCTGACAGCTGATTGTTTACACACAGTTTTCATTTCCCTATGATCTCTGAAAGTAATATTAATTGAAGTAATGCTTCAAACTAACTGAGCTGTTTCAATCATCCAGTCAACAATACAGGAGTGGAAAAGGTTTCGGTGTTTTAGGACATATTAGAAAAACATTCTGCTCTTTAAAAGGTTCTAAAATTAAGACAAAATGAAGAAGTGTGTGTGGAAAATCTGAGAATAGCTCATGATTCATTAGCTTGTAGAACCACCTTTAGCAGCAGCAACCTAAAGTTTGTCCAGGATAAATTTAGCAGTCACTAGATCATGATGCAGGAATCTTTGCCCTCTCACTTTTACAACTTTGCTTCAGTTTATTGCAGTTTGCAGTCATCTGTTTATGCACAGCTCTGAAGGTCCTGGCACAGGACTTCAATCAGACTGAGGTCTGGAATTTGGCTCGTTGCAGCACCTTGATCCTTTTCTTTTTCTGCCATCAAATTGTAGATTTGCTGCTGCATTTGGGATCATTGTCCTGTAGCATGAGCCAATAGGTGTTGTACAAATGGCCTCATGTTTGACTCTAGAATACCTTTGCATACAGAGGAGTTCATGGTCCACTGAATGGCTTGAAGGTGTCCAGGTCTTGTGACTGCTGAGCAAGCTAAATCATCAAACTGCCACCACGGCACAGCCATGTACATGACTGTTTATAAGATTGGGGAAACCTGCAGTCAGCTGAGACTGAAGAAGTCACTTGGTTGAGCGACGAAAAGTTTCTCCCACGAAACGCTGCGTCCAGATAAACAGAACCAATTTTCTTGGAGAGCCAATCTCCTAGCAACCCTTCCAAACAACCCAAACGTATTCAGTGTTGTTCTTATTGTGTTGTCATGAACTTTAACCTCTATCATGCTATCATGCTAATCAAGGTCTGCAGAGTCTGAGTTGTAGCTCTTGGGCTTTTGCATGTTCTCTGAGCATTGCACGCTATGACCATGGGATTAAATCCTGGAATGTCCACTCCTGGGAGTCCTGATAACTTTTCTGGATGTTTTCCACATGAGAATAATCTATCTCACTGCAAGATGATGGACCGTAGATTATTTGGAAATGGCCTTATAACTATTCTGAGACTGACGGGCAACAATAGCTGCTTCTCTCGAGATTATATCTTTCCTTTTGGCATTGTGTTAACACACTGAAAGGTTCATCAACCCAAAACTGGCCTTATACCCATCTGGAATACAATTATACTGAGTTTCTTTACACTGACTCTAGCCAGATGTTTAACGCAGCCATAACAAACTGCCTACAAAAATGATGAACCTTGGCTACACATCTGCTTCTGAATTGACGAGGTCCTCAGCAACCACCCAGAGTGTCAGAGTAGGGCCCTACCTCATCCCAACACTCAGCTTACACATTGGCTCCCCACAGATGCTGAATCCTTACTGTACACTCTTTAGTAATACCAACTTGGTCCTCAATGCCACAAAAAACTATGGAAATACTTCAGGAGAAACAGATGTGACGCTCAGCCTATATACATGAATAGCAGTTTTGTGGAGAGGGTCTCTGACTTCAGATTTCTGGGCCTGCACCTGGATGATGATCTATTCTGGAAAACTAAAATCACATCACTAGTCAAGAAGGTAAAACAACACCCTAGCTGAGGAGCTGCTTGTTCTTCTACAAATGCTCTTTTGAATGCACAGAAGATCATCACAGTTGCCACAGTAAAGCCCACAGTCTCCCAAAGGACACATCCCACCCAGCTCTCTTTGCACTCAGTGGGACTTGATACATTTAGGTTTTAGCTTTTGTACAATGACAATAAATATTGTGACTCTGGTTGTATGCAGGTGGTTATCTGATCATCATCTTACTGATCATCAGTTAATCAACTGCATTTGAATAGCAGCTCTTTTTTTTCTCAATTCCTATATAAGCTTAGGTTTTCACTGCTTTGGCTTAATTCATGTTAAATAAACAAGGACATGGGGAATATGGATGTTTTTATTAATCTGAGGTGATGAACAGACTTTGCATTATGTTCTTATATCTAAAACCTTAAAACTGAAAGCGAGCACACATTTTATTGTGCGTTATCGTTATTGTTTAACTTCAGGGCCAGTGTATTTTCATCAAATAAACACATCATCATTCACTGCTGCTCAGTGCACACAGGGTCCCACTGCGACCCCTACAGGGATGAGACAATCATATTTGACCTTTAATAATAAATAAATATATAATGTAGTAAATCCAAAGAAAAAAAATTCTGTTCTGTGGAAAATAAACAGGAAGATGAATTTGGGGGAAAGGAGGGAACGGAGATGTTTCCATTTCATGTGAAATGTCCCTGAAGTTTTTATTTGCAAATAAATAAACATGTAAACAACAACTCTTCATTGGAAACAGCATCATATGTTTCAACAATAATGACACACGGACACAAATATCTCACACTCGGGAACAAAGCGCAGTGTTAGTACATATCATGTCATCCAAAGTCCTCAAAAAGATGAAGTCAGAGGTGGAAGAAGTAATCAACAACAGTGTTTCAGTATAAGCTGTTTCACAGTTCGAAACCTTCCATAGATTTTCATTAAACTTATAAAAAGTGCATTTTTAACCCTCTCTCTCTCTATATATATATCTTTCCACTGGTTCACCTTCATTATCAAAAAATATATTTTAAGCAATTCTAGACCAAAGGAATCCCACGAAATAGCCACAAACAAGTCTTGCTATGATAATATCCTGTTGTTAAGCTACATTGTGGTGTTTAACTTGATATTTCACCTGCTGCTGTAATTAAAAAGATTTTCAGACTTTTGGTTGCCTGTGATGGACTTCATAAACTTATCTATTTTTCTCCATGAAAAATGTATAAGATAATTTTGTAATTGATCGAGTTTACTCGTTGCCAAAATAGTTGTGGGTTCAAGACCCCTAGACGAGATATTTGTAGAGCTGAACTAAAAAGCGACTGAGGTTGAGCTTAGCAGGGAACAAAAATGCACCACTGGAAAGCAAAATGGTCCACTTGATTTATATCGCAAAGAAAAAATAAATGCATTCATGCCAGTTATCTTATTCTAATAATGTTCCAATGAAAATGATCAAATGAACCCAAACTCGTAATTTAAATCAAAATCGAATTAATTGCCTCTCCCTAAGTCAAAATTGCTCAGAGTTGCTTATTATGGTCTGCAGTCTCCTGCTGCATATAATTAAGAAAAGGACTCAGTAACTTCTCCAAACACTTCACTAAAGCCTGAAGAGGGCGCTGTTACTCTGCAAGAAATGGGGCTGCTTTTACTCTGCAACTTTTCCATTTTCTGGTTTTTATACCAAACACACGACAGGAAAATCAAAAGAAAGAAGCTGAATTTTACCTGATCTGACAGGTGAGTTTTACATGCAGTTTTTATGGACCCACGTTTACTAAAATTAAAACGGAATTTGCTTCAAAATAACTGGTGAAATAAGTGCTCAGAGGAATGTGAAGAGTGGCAAGATTTGCGTCTAGAAGTACTTTACAGTTTGGCAAAAGCAACATTTGAACAGAATTATTCTTATCAATCTGATATGAATTTCTCAACAACTCCTGAAACTTCACAACCTCTCAGACTCTTGGGTAACCCTTGAACTCAAAGACCCCAGAACTCTTCAGAATCACCCATTAAAGTCATTTGAGAAGGGTTTAGGAGTCCATTAAAACTCATGAACCATTCTCAACTCCTCACAGTCCTTCAGGTCCTTCCTGGTAGCTTTTTGGTCTGTTTGTCCCTTTAGGGACTCTTAGTCCTAGTGAAAAGTTCAGTCATGTAGTTCCACCGGCTTTTCACTCCATATTAGGAAAGAAGAGCTTTAGTGGAATGTCATCTATATTTCCACTGGAGTAGATAAAACAAAGTCTAACTCAAAGCTTTTATGAGGAACATTGTTAGCAGCCTCACTTTGACAGCCTCCTCAGCTGGTGTTCCTCCGTTTCATGCTTGATGCTTTGATGGACCCTCCTCTGCTGGACCGCAGTGAGGAGTGGGCTTCCCTCATGTTTTCCCTGAACGTCCTTGTAGAGTAGTAATACAGCAGCGGGTTGACCATGCTGTTCGACGCTGCCAGACACAGGGTCACCACCACCCCTCGCTGCAGGGCCAGCAAGATGTTGCAGTTCCAGCGGTTGCACACAGCGTGCAGGTGGAGCGAGCGGACCAGGTGATAGGGCAGAAAGCAGAACAGGAAGGTCGCTGTCACCATGCTGACCAAATGCACCGAGCGCCTCCGGTTGCGAGTGCGATTCTTGCTGGCCAGGTTGGTGCCGCTGGGGCTTGAGTCGGCCGTTAGCTGTCGAATGATTTTGCTGTAGCAGATGATGATGGTGAGGAAAGGTATGAGGAAACCAAAAGTCACCGCCACGTAGTTTAACACCAGGATAATCGACCAGGACTTTGGGGTTTCTGGCTCAAAGCAGCGAGTTGCATTGTTCCTGAGAGAGAGCGAGACAAGCAAAGAAATGACGTTTTATCCATCATACCTACATAACTGTTTGATTAAATTAATTAAATAGATTCAGCTGTGTTTCTGTGACATTTTACTAAATTTGTAGATTATTAACTTTGGATTAGCTTGACATATGTTATGGTTTAAGGAAGCACCTTTTACAAGCACCATAACCTATATTTGTTTTTGTTGTTTTAACATTGGCATGAGTATTGAACATGTTTTCTTTGAGCATGTTGCAGCATGTCTGTTTCCAAATACAATCAAGAGGACAGGAGGAAAGGCATGAATAAAACCCCACAGCCCAGCCGCCACCTTTTTGAACTTTATTTATTCAATCACTCTACGGCAGTGCAGTGTTATAGGCGTTAGTGCATATCAATATTTTTTTATATATTTCAGAATTACCAGATAAAGCTAATGTGTTGAAATCCAACAGAACCACCTCACAAATGGTTAGAAAATTATAAACTGGCACAAAGATTTCCAACATAAGCCACCATCCATTGAACTAGAAACATTCAACTGTTAAGTTAAGAGTCCTGCAGGGAAGCTTGACAATGAATAAATAAAGTATTACAACTCTGCTCATTAAAAATAATAATAAGCATATTGGTGTTGTGATGCTGTTTAATGTTAAACTGCTTAGACACTTAAGCTAGCTTTTTAGAGCTGTGACACCATGTGTGCAGTGGCTGAAAAAAAAAAGCCATAGCTCAGGTGTCTATTTGAGGCTGACTGTGTGTGTAGTGGTCAAACTTCATTAGATTATGCATTAAGTTCATATATATCGACTTCCTTCCATGGAAGCCGCAAAATGGAAGTCTGGAGTTGGTTTATGTGTCCTTGATCACTTGCCTTAAAAATCTGCCTTGTTTAAGAATTTGATTGGACAATTTAGCATCATTCACACATTCACACATCGCCACAGCACAGGGACTCTTGTCCTGGAGAAGAACAAGGACTAACTCATTAGCTAGTTTTTGACTGAGGATGGCAACTTCAAGCGCTGAAACGGTAAAAGTAAAATTTGATTGTTTATTTACTGCAACATATTTAAGGCACTCAGTCAAAGAAAAGAATGAAAAGTCGACAGACCCAATGGTGCCCCCACCCCAGAAAGAATTTTTGCCATCAGCCGTCACTGATGGTAAAAAAAGACGTTTTTTTTTTTTTAATTTTTACATTTTCACTCGTTTAAATAGTGCTAAGACTTAAGGTTTCCAATATTGGGGAAATGGTCTGACTGCCTGACAAGTAATGAGAACCAACAGTTGGTAAATATGCTGATTAAATAATTTTTCTTCATACTTTTTTCAGTTATTTTTCAAAGGCAAATTTACTTTACAGATTAGAAATTTATGACATACTACAATACTGTAAAGATAAAAAAGATCTTCAGTCAGTTTTTGGGGGCATTTGTCTAAAGAAACTGTTGTTTTATTTGGGAATCTTGCATCTTCAGGTGGACAAGAACTCCATAACAAATGGAGCCAAAAAACAACTTTAATTCTGCTCAGTAGGCCAAAACATGCAAGACTCGGTTCTATCATCACCTCCCAGAGGAGACATTTCCCTGATGCTTTTATCATCTCCCCTCAACATCAGGACAGAGTTGTTAGTTTTCCTGTACACAGGAAGACATACATTTCCTGCTCCTCGGACCAATTTTACAAAGACCACTGTCAGGGAAAGTGGGCCGATTTTGTTCATTTCCAGTTATACACTTATAATTTAGGGCTCTACTAAAGCAGTTTTATGTGATTAATGATCCAAAAAGAATCTGTATTTATTTGTATTCATATTATAAAAAGAAGATGGAGTGAGGCTCTTTTGCTCTGAGTCTCTGATGCTATCAGACAGCACAATGCAGGCATTTTAAAACACTTCTGTATATTCAGCCCTTGTCAGATAGGAAAGCTTAGTCTGTCTTTTCCAGAGTCTATGAAAAGGCTGTGCAGAGGAGAGATAGTAACTAATGACAATGTTGTTTTTTTCAGTTGGAAAATATGTGAGGAAGGTTTGCTGTACTGTTGTTAATGCTAAACATTGCCTCCTTGTTTGTTTAAGTTCTTCCAGTAACCGTGACAATATCAGGCGAAATTTATCATGATAAGTATACACAAACTGATCACAGGCGTGAAATCACTGTTAATTTAACTGGAAATCCAAACACAAGACACAATGCCTACTAATAAACCACACGGAAACCAGTTTAATGGTTTTAAGGCCTTGGGATGTGCTTAAATCTGCTCTCTTATTCATTTCACATGTGAGAGAGAACTGTAACACATGAAAACACCTGGGGGGGTTTTATTTGCCAGGGAAAGGTTTTCAGACCTTGTACAACTTGTTCAAGAGTGAGTTAATTTTGTCATTGAAAAAAATGAGACAAAGCAGGAAGCACGGGATCAGTCAGCAGCTAATCTGATTACACTCCAACAAGGTTCCTCCTGAGTTTGTGCGAAAGCATTAAAGCCAAATCAAGGATAAAACCACATGGACGCAACTTTTTATATCTCTCTAAAGCATCCAGTGAATCCAATGAACAACGACATGCACAAAAGGAAAAACACCTTCAACTGGCTTCATCACAATAAACATTTTTCAGCCCTGAACCCTTAATTTAAAACCTGAAAATCAAACCATTTCAGCTGTATGGATCTACATATGTAAAATAAAAAAAAAAGTCATAATATCAAATCCAAACATTTGAAATGAACCTTCACTAAACATTTTTTTTAAATCCAATTTAAAAAAATTAATGAAAAAAACAATTAATAGATATTTTCATGAATTAAAGTATTTGTTAAACTATTAGATTCTGTCTCGTAAAAAAGAAAACAAACAAAGAAGAAAACAAAACATGTTGCAGGATGTCTCACCTATGTACAACCCCATTGGACAGGAAGGGCACAGAGGATCCGCCCACAAACACCCAGACTCCCAGGCAGATCCATAAGGTTCGAGCAGGCGTAGCTAAAGAGCGGTGACGGAGCGGCTTAGCAACAGCCAACCAGCGCAGCACGCTCAGCAGAGTGAGGAAGAGGATGCTGATGGGCGGAAGAGAGTTATTTTAGTAAATGTCTGTCGTTTGTTTTAAGTGTGTGTATGTGTGTTTGTCTACTGGTATAGCTGGTGATGTGAGGTCTTACACATGGACTCATCCTGTTTGAGGACGTAACGTCCCCATAATGCAAATGCTTAATTCCAATACTTGCTTTTGTTTTTTTGTTTGATGTCACTAAATGATTGTTTTTTACTTTTATTTTACTTTATTACTTTTATATATACTCATATTCTGAACATAATGATTTCACACATATTCATATATTTTGGGGGACTACAAATAAACTTAATTATGCTCCCTAAAGGGATGTGATGATCAGTGAATGTGAATTACCTGGTGTACAGGTTGACGTAGAAGCCAAAGACGCACAGTCGGCACATCCAGTCTGGGAAGAACCACTTCCCTTCATTAAAGTAATAAGCCAATCGCAGCGGGAGGGTCAGGGAGAAGCTGCCGTCTGATATGGCGAGGTTCATCATGATCACACAGGAGGCCGACCTCCTGAGGGGACAAGGAAAAAGATGGATGATTTAAAGTCTCTTAAAGGGACAAAAAAAGTCATTTTTTGTTTTGTTTTTTGACATTTTCACTTAATTATTGAAGCACTTACAGCTGAAGAGCAACTGAATGTGGATTTTAATAAGAGGTTCAGTTTTAGGCAACTAGGCGTGTGTTACCTCACAGCGTTGTAGGCCAGTAGATTAACAGAGAACAGGAGAGGGGCTCTCTAAGGGGAAATGAGTAAATCAGCTGTTCGTCTGATGCATTATTTCTAACTTGTCCATCCTGCTCTCTTCCAATGAAGAGCTGAACATCTTCCGCTTTGCTACCTCCTTTCTTTCTGTCAGTGCGACTGTCTCCAAACCAACCCTGACAGTAGGTCATTACCATCTCATAAACCTTCCCTTTCACTCTTGCTGCTGTCCTTCTGTCACATGTCACCCCTGACACTCATCTCCACCCCTCCACCCTGACTGCGCTCTTGCTGTTGTTTTGGTTGATTTGGTATCTTTACTCCTTGCATCTTCACATTTCCACCTGTCTCATTCACTCATGTATTCTGTCTGACCTTCAGTCATTTTCTCTCTGAAGCATGCCTCCACCTCTCCAGGCTCTCCTCCACCTGTTCCCTACTCCTTACAGATCACAGCATTGCTCACAAACATCATAATCCACTGAGACTCCAGGCTGATCTCACCAGCAGACACATGTATTTTACTGATATCTTTGTGTTTATTGTGACTTTGTAAAGTTTCACACATTGCATAATGACCTTGTTGGTGAAATCTGAGCCTTTATGTGGGCTTCATCACTCACATATGTCAGGTGTCAGTCACAGGCACAGCAAGGCTGCATGGAGGTTACTGTTAACTACATAAAACTCTTATTGTGAACGCACCTGCGCATAATTACAGAGCGTGACGGTTATCCCAAGTTTGGATCTTATCATGAGATCAAGTTTGCATGGTGCATAAACAAGCTGGTAGCCATAATATTGCCCCTAATTTGTATGCAATTTGATAAGCAAATTAACCCCACGAGCACGAAATGAACAAAAAGTAAACAGACATTTCACGCAGTCGTATGAGGTCGGCCTTCAGTACAGCATGCTCGCTGACACGTGTCAGGGAAGCCCAATCACAGACTGTTAGATATTAATAACTCTTTAACTTTTTAGAGATTTAGATCTTTTCTGGTGAAGTCAAAAGGTCTCATGCTCGGAAGCTCTTCATCATCTTCCCTCTTGTCTCAAAGCACAGAGGTGCTCTGAGTGGGGAGTCTTTACACCATCTTGAGCGATACACAACTACACCGGCGTAACTTTGTGCTGAAAATTGGGGGGAGGGAGGGGGAAAGATCTCTGTATAAATAAATAAATAAATAAATAAATAAATAAATAAATCTGGGTAAAACATGCTATTTTGCTGGTAATACCTGAAATCAGTAAAGACAATCAAGAGCCTATTTATGCAAGATAATTCATAATTTTATGCGGGGGGGGGGTATATATACCACCCTGGAAATTACGGCACTGCACAACCATGCAGGGAATTCTTGTCCAGAAGAAATGTGTATGGATGTGTGAGCAATAAATATAATGCAAGTAAATTTAACAGTACTGTCTGTCTGTTAACAGTCTGTGTTTTTGTTGAGAGAGTGAAATCTTACTTAGACAAGAGCAGTTATGTTGCGGCTGTTTTTCTTGATTTCAAGCGTGCGTTTGACACTGTGAATCATC